AATTATTAAATTCCGCTTGGTAATGTATATGCGTTCCGCTGTTGTATCTATCGCGACAAGTATCAATTGTAATGGAATCTTCGTCGAGAATTTTTGATACCAGGTCGTTAACCATTGGATTATTCAAGTCCTGACTCGAGTCCTCGTCTTCAAAATTATTCATCTAAAATAAAGATGACGATTATATTAAATAGTCGACTACAAAATTTAAAAAATTTGTTACGGTACTAAAACATTCTTGCGCATAGACAGACGTATAAACAAGCTGTTGCGCAAGTAAAATTTTCACATCACTTACATTTCTTTTCGCGCTGCAATCCATTAAGTCATAGTTCCATAGTTGATTGTGTTCCATGCTATACATGTCCCTAGAGTAAATCTTTCGTGGTACTTCCAACATATCGACGCTGCGTTTGGTCTCGTTATTCTTCTATATATGTGAAAACAATTGTCGGTATGAAATTTTGGCAAGTTTGCATATACATTCGATGAAATGTGTGACACGCGGAGATTGTCATGAGATTAACAACAACTAGAATTGCATACGTGTAAAAATTTCGTAATATTTTAGACATTGTTGTCGATATTTATCCGATTCAACGAAAGAGGGTAATAAAATGTGAATCAAGCGTCGTGTACGGAGAATCTATCGATTGTTTTTAAAGGACGCAAACAGCGAAACGAAAAGCGTAGCACACACGAAAATACTACGCGAGGTCAAGCGCGACACGAGAGTAAGTAACGATTGGTATATTTATATAAGGTGGGAAGAATTTTAAGAGGAGAAATCGAACAAGGAGGAGCAAGGACTATCAACGGAGCTATCGTTCTAGTACAACACGATGCGTAACTGCATCGCGGACAGATTCAAACGATCCAACGATATACGCGAATATGTATATCGCTATCGTGTCGCGATCGGGGCAAGTGACGACGAAAAATGTGAAGGATGATGTTAGGTCACCATTTGCACTCTCACGAGCAATATATGCGTGAAACACGCTAGAAATTATCGTTTCCACGTTTAATAACTGTTTCAAACAATTGCGGATCGCATTCCTTGAGTCTTTGGTACTGGGAACTGAGAATAGGATTACTACAAATGAGTCTGTTCTTTTTGCACCTTTTTGCAATTTCACTCTTTCTCTTTCTCTCTCTCTCTCTCTCTCTCTCTCTCTCTCTTGTCGGACAAGATACAACTTGCGTCATTTTGTACATAGATAATGGGACAGTGTAGCTAAAATCTTTGACACAAATATACATTTCATCATGTTAAAGAAGGCGAAAGAGAGCTAATTTGTCGGACGGATAGTGAGATGGAAAACTATAAAGAGCGATACAGAGAGAGAGAGGGGAGGGGGAGAGAGAGAGGAGGGCGGACGAGAGGGGGAGGAGGGGAGGGAGAGAGGAGGAGACGATATTTACTCACCTCGTCAACAGCGAAAGCATTGTTGATCACGCTCAAATTATGCACTTCGGACAAAGCCATTCGTTAAAAAAGATCTTTGGCAGTCACCACCATCACCGATGCTACTCCATTGCTACTCGCCATCACTTTTCCAGTCTTGTATGATACTAGTTGCAACTACTCCAATCAGTCCAATTACAACTTGAACCAGTCCCGATCGTCACTATCGACGACGACGACGACTGTCATTCGTATATCTTGCGTGCACCTTTACACACCCACTTTGACGCATGTCGACCAACATCGCACTGACCTAGATGAATCTCGAACCGTCACACACGTATAGATAGTGGTGTGTGCTCAAGATAGCTTTTTTTATTCGGTAGACCTAACCTAACCTTCTAATAACCTATCCTATCCATGTATGTATGTATGTATGTACCACACAAAACTTTCTCGATGAAAATCATAGACGTTGTAAAGATAGACGGAGACACGTCGATTAAATTAAAAGGCCGTGGCACGTAAAGGAGATGCGTGCAATTGATAAATCAACCTTTCATCCGTTTGTTACTTACATTTTTCCACATACTTGAAATTTTCTATAAACCAGCGAATGTTGTTTAGGCTGCGACACACGAGAAAAAGTGCATTCATACATTTCATTCCATTTGTAAATGGCCGCTTTATAGCGAACTTTACAGCGCCGCCAATGATTGGTTTCTACTTTTGGATCCGACCAATCAACGTCGAATTTATAACACGCGCTCATTGGTCACAGTTGGCGACATTACTAGATTTTCCGATGAAATTCGAACGCTGATTAGTCGGACCTGAAAATAGAAACCAATTATATTCCATTGTACTTCTCGGCGATTTTGAAGATTAAAATTTGACTGGAACTTGGAACAGGAGCTAAAATTCTTTAAATACGGATCGATCAAATCCTAATCTTCAACATCCATCTTTACATATAATTCAACAGCTTTTCGAAGCTTTAAAGTATACAATAATTTACCATACAATAATTTATAGCGTTCACTTGTTAAATTTTGTCAATATATTACAAAAGTAATGATAAAATATAATCATATGACAAATATCCATAAGCCCGTTCTCATTTAATTTTTACTCCTTTATCACAAATAAATGGTTTTTATAATAATAAAGTTCGTTCAAACTATCTTTTATATCAATGGCAGCTCTGTGGCAATATCGTTTTTTCGGAACTGCTTTATCTATGTTTGGTTGCCATCTTCTAAAACAAAAAAAAATTGACTTGTTGCATACGTGTGCAAGTCCTTATCTTACGAAATTAAAATGTAAATTGACACATGTAAAATAACCAACAATAGTAATAGTAATAATTAAATAATCAATCGCTGCCTATACCTAGCCAACTCTTTGATTGTACTGACATCGATAACTCTATAATGTAAATAATTATCTATCAATGGCATATATTTCCTGAGGAATATACGATCCATATAGATTGAATTTCCAGCCAACGGACACATTCCTCTTGGTACATGGCTCTGCAAATATTGTAGCATTTTTTGTTGAGCTTCTTCCAATGTAACTTTACTTGAGCGGCAATCATTGATTAAGCCAGACTAAAATAGATTTTAACAACACAGTTTAATAAATAATTAATTAATCGTTATACTATGAGAAATACGTTACCATTCGAAAAAGATAAAATTGCCTTTTTATGTTGTACTTTGCACCAGTTGGACATGTTTTCTAAAACTTGATCCGTTTGATGTATAATAATGTTTAAGCAATCGCTAACAGGCTTTAGCTGTTCATCAGTTATTAAACATGCCAGTTCTAGGATGTGACATTGTTCTACTTCTAAACCTGTCATCTGGAAAATTCGAATCATTTCAATTTTTATTTTAATATTATAATTTGTAACAATTTTGTACCTCCATGTCAAGCCAAACAATGTGTTTTTCATTTTTATCATCCCTTCTTATTACTGTTGGAGTTGTACGATCTATAACAAATTTAAAAAAAATACCCTTCTTCAACATTTTTTATAAATTTCAGCAAATCAAAAATGGTATTAAATAAAAAAGACAGTTGTACAAATTACTATACACATATATACACACACACACATATATGTATATGTATAACGTTTATTTATATATATATATATATATATTATATATATATATATATATATATATATATATATATATATATATATATAGCACAGCGAACAGAAAAAATAAAAAAAAATATGATTCAATGTTTTTTACTAGATATTTAAATATAATGGTCATATTACCATTATTTAAATAACGTCGAGTACTGTGATACATATATTTTGAATAATGTTTAACAAAACGCGTAATGGTCATGACTGCTTATTTAATCACAATATATATGGTATAGTATAGGTATACAATACAATTTTCTAATTTTTGTCAAGACTGAATACGCACGTGCAAAGACCGAATTAATCCGGGTCTACAATAGGCAATTTAAGCCTCAAGCCTTAAGGTGCAATTTCATTGACGCTACTTTTTAGCGTCAATGAAAAGGCCGCTTTAAGGTGCAATTTCATTGACGCTAAAAAGTAGCGTCAACCATTGGTTGAACAATGAAGCAACTACTAACTTCTTTGTTCAACCAATGGTTGACGCTACTTTTTAGCGTCAATGAAATTGCACCTTTAAAGCTAGCGTCAGACTATGTGCGATTCGTAATTCGTGATTCATAGAAATTCGTTGGATATTTAAGGAGATTCGTTATTCGTCAGTGGCCGCATTCAGCGGACTTAACCGTTAAATAGCAATCGAATATGATTGGTTTCTACTTTCAGATCCAACCAATCAGCGTCAAGTTACATCGGAAAATCTAGTAATGTTGCCCAATTGTTGAGTCCGCTGAATGCGGCCAGTATAAACTTTTTAAACTATTCGCGATTCGCCATATATCATTCGTAATTCGTAATTCGTAATTTCTTAATTCGCGTTATTTCGACCAGTTTTTTAAATAATATTTATCTTTTGAAACGTCCCGTTTGACCACGTTGCGATTGACCACAGCCAATTATATCGACCTAGGGTAACCAGCAACGATTAACCAATCAAAGAGTCCTATTTTGAATTGGCCAATTGGCGACGTGGTCAATCGGATCTGTTCTTTTCAGCTGCACTGCTGCACTAGTGCAATTAGTTAGAGTGAAAGAAAATATGTTTGTCTCTTTCTAACTTATTGCACTAGTGCAGCAGTACAGCTGAAAAGAACAGACCCATAGTATATTATTTACATTTAATAATAATTTAAACTTTTATTACATGAGCGAGAAATAAATCGGATAACTCAACTAAAAAACGAGCAAGAGAAAGAAAGAAAGAGAAAGAGAGAGAGAGAGAGAGAGAGAGAGAGGAGATACATGCAATACACACATCCGCAATGTTAAAGAATTATTAAAATTTAATTTTTCTATATATTATAATTTTATATAATTTATATAATTATATAATCTTATAAGAATTTTCTTACGTGTGTATATATATATATATATATATATATATATATATATTTTTTTTTCAGAATTATAGACAATTTGTAAAAATCCAAAATTGTATACACCTGTACATTGACAAGCAATGATGAACGAAATTTTGGAAGTACAGAACAAGGACTCTGTCATAAGCGAACAAGAACGCGATTTAGCACAAAATGCATTGTCAGAATTTCATAAAGGCTCCTATGTTTTATGCTCATCATACTTGAATAAGTTGGAAAACCTTCGCCCTATGGATCTTAAAGTTATGCATAACAAAGTTGTTGTGGAGTATTATAAAAGTGACTTGAAAAAAACTGAGTTGATGCGTAAAAGTTTAATTGCCATATGTGGCCAAATGTCAGCAGATTCTAGTGAAACTATAGATGATGTTGAAAAGTGTGTTATGAGATATAACCAAGCCGTTTTATTGTATCACACTAAGCAATATAATGCTGCGCTTCAAATCATGACCAAACTATTTGCTTTCATCGAGCCAATGGGTACGTATAATAATTTTTTTGAATAGAAATTGAATTTGTGTTGTATAATTGCTGGTAACTGAGCATGTGTTATTTAACAGAAAAGGTAAGAAAAAAATGTTATTTTCTATGACATTTCTTTAGGGAAAATGATTGGCAAATTGTTTGATTCGCACATATAAATAAAACAAGCATTATTTTGGAAAATTTGTTTTACCGAGTATAGTTTTGAACATTATTTATAGCTCATATGTAAACCTTTCTTTTCGATTATAGAAGAAACTTTAGCCAACAAAGTTTGCCTGTTACTCATTGAGCTATATATAATAATGGAACAACCGGATGCAGCTCTGTCAATATTAAATTATGTGGAGAGTCAGTATATATCTATCGATGGTTCTAAAGTGACATCCGTTGACAAGGATGGAATAATAAAATCTAAAATAAAGGAGCAAAAAGAACAAAAGAGAGATACCAATGATGCAGTAACAGATGTATTCAAAATTAAACTCTTAAAATGTAAAGCAAGAATATATCTTTTGACTCATCAATTGAAACTTTGTAAAAAAGAGTGGAAGACAATTGTTTCACTGGGCACATTGGCGGTAACATTATTATTTTATTACAACAACATATAGAATGACACATTAATAATTATTGACAAATTCCTCGAAAAATTTTGTATCAGATTTTACTCAGATTTGATATTATATATTCTATAATTCTATATGATTGGATAATTTTCTACAATTTTCTACTTGGTATTGTATATTACAATTTCTGTAAGTTTTAGAATTAAATGTTACAACTAAGCTGCAAATTAAATTTTAATTATTGCAAATCATTATAATTATAATAAAAATAAAAAAAGATATTTACACATATCTCTCCTATACAATCTTAAGGTACTAAAAAAAAGAGAATTCCCATCTAGAATAATTAGCACATTTACTAGACTAAATAAAAAATATTTAATTATAACATAAAAGTTTCAAAAATTGATTTTATCAGAGATGAAAGTGAAGTTTTGATTGAGATAAGACGGGTGATTTGCTTATATCCGTAAATACTAAGCAAATATATTTTGTTAATTTTTGTGTAAAATTGTATAATTACATGTATACAGATTTATGCAATATTTGTCATTTTGCCATGTAATACTCTCGATTACATTTATACAAATATATTCTGTACATTCATGTATATTTTTATTAAATTTATTATTTTCAGAATACATCAACAATTTTTTTAAAGGCTAATTTGGAGTATTTACGAGGAAATTACAAGAAGGCAATGCGATTGCTGAATTCTGCAACAATAGAAAATTTAGATTTCAAGTAGGTTACAAATGTTAATTAAATTATATATAAATATACATGAGAAAAAGTCTTAAGAATCTATAAACATCCTTAACATCATTAATTGTATAAAATAAAACGTTATAATTCTATATCACATTTTGGACATTTCCACTTTTTTTAATAATTCAAATAATATAATAATAATAATAGTAGCAAAAAGAATATACAAAATTAAAATAGATTAGCAAAATGCATAATGAAATGACGATATATATGTATATACATATATAAATGTATTTGAAAAAAAAAAAGAAAGAAAAAGTAGAATTGCATTTTTCGGACCATTTCATAAATCTGTAGGAAAAATTAGAATACTTAGGAAGACATTACAACTTTTTGTGTGTATGTTGTGTATATGAAAGTAATTTTTTATATTTAAAATATAGCAGAAGTATATGTATACATATATATCTATATATATATATATATATATATATATATATATATATATTTATTTATTTATTTATTTATTTAAATAAGTAGAGTTATTGTCAGAGTCTGTATTTTTCTAAAGCACATTGCATTAATATGTGAATTACAGATTATGTGGGGAATCTTCGGCCGTTTTATATTATAATAATATAGCATGCCTCTATCTTGCAATGGGCAAACCAAATTTAGCTTGTTTTTATCTTAAAAAAGCTCTACATGAAAACAAATTAGCAGTCGAGAGCGTGCAAGTCAAAGACACTGGTAATTTATATATTCACACTACTATTATAAATATAAAAATCTTATTGTTCTGTTTGAGTGTACTTTGACTTATCTTTATTCTTAAAAATAAGCAGTTCTCTATACTAAATAATGTATGCTTCTGTTAAGTATATTTAAATATCACAATTTTCAGATTTATGTGTATAATCTACAATATAATTCAAAAAATGTAAAAAATTTAAATACATTTGATTGAAATTATCATTGAGAAAGCATATTAGAATTAATTAAACATTAAATATGTCAAGTGTTTGTAGCAAACAAATTAGTTTAATCGTTTTCTTGGCAATATTGCAAATTGTTTATAAAAATGTCATTAAAAAAAACTTATTTTACACAGATCCTTTGTTTTCTCAGCCGCTATACACACTTGGTGGCAATAAACATTACGAGCTAATGTACAGTTTAGGTGTATCATTGTTGCATACTGGTCAAGCGTCAAAAGCTTTCGATTGCTTTACAGAAGCAGCACAAAGATTACACAATAATTCCAAACTTTGGCTTAGAATGGCAGAATGTTGTATCTATAATCATAAATATGTAAGTATATATTTATTATATTTTTTTTGAGATTCTACTTTCAAACTCTCTCTCTCTCTCTTTAATTAATGTAATACTCGATAGCGTTGCTCACAGTTTTACTTTAAATACAATTATAATATGCAAACTTACATAAAATAAGAAAGACCACTATGTGCTACATAGTGTAGTAATGTAATGCAAACCTATTGTCCATCTTTTAGTCAAATCAAGTGGATTTTAATATTCCGAAGCGACGTAAAGATTTGGTACAGAAAGTTGTAGGTTCTGGTGTTCATAAGAAAATCATTTTGGCTGCATCTCTTTCAAAAGATGTTAATTATCATTCAGAAGGCCTATCCTATGCTATACCACAGCCAACATTAGAGTTTGGATCATTATGCCTGAAGAATGCATTATTTTTATTACCAAATAATAATGAGCCGAATGTGTCTCAAACAGCCATAGTAAATGCACAGACAGCGACAAGTACACTACCATTAACGACTAGTCACAACTTGGGTATAAATTATAATTTATATACATTGATGTATGATTTGTAGGTCTATCTTTTTTGCTCTTTTTCCATCCTCCTCTCTCGCTCTCTCTCTTTCTTTCTGTGTACGTTTATGTACAATAATCCATTTTATATAATTATTTCAGGTATGCAGCATGCAACATTAATATCCCAAGCAACAATTATTGAATCTTTTAATTTAAAAATTAGTGTATTAACTGCTAGTGCATATGTTTCTTTGTGTCTTGGAGATTATATACTGTCCCTTGAACATGCAAAGACTCTACTAAGTTTTAATAAGCTGCCTGGAGCATATAAACTCTTAGGCAATTTATATGCTGCAGAAAGTCTGATCTTTATGGATAAAATTAGCGAAGCACTCGAGTATCTCAAGCTGGAAAATCTACAAGACTTGCATACATTTATATCAATGCCAGAGATTCAAGAAAAAGATAAAGAAAAAGTGGAAGAAGTTATGGCAAAGCCTACAAAAGGTGCATTTAGAAAATAACATTTTTTTCTTCTTTCTTTTTTATAGACTTTTTTTTAAGAAAATTTTTTATTTCTTTTTCTTTCTTTCAAGTTTTGATAATCTTTCAAAAGATGTGTTGTTTCTTATATTTTTAAAATAAAAGATTATATATATATATATATATATATATATATATATATATATATATAAAATACATTTTTTCAACTTACATTCTCATATAATTATTTTTTTCTTGGTTATATTAGAATGCAATGAAATGCAATAATTTTCTTATTACTTTAAATTGTAGCATGGTATCCTACTACAGTTTCTACAGGCATTGCTGTATTACGTTACAACTTGGCTGTGGCTTATGCCATACGAGGTGAATTAGATAAATCTGGAGAAATCTTAAAACAAGTTAGTATATATATTTATTTGGATTAACTCAATCCATTTAATATCAAAGGCCATATAATTATAAAAAAAAGCTTGAAATAAATTATCATCGATTATTCTTCTTTTCTAAGGATTCCTTTGAGAGTGAACAATATGCTAAAGCTATTAATATTATTATTTAACATTAATATTAGAAATTAACATTATTATTAATTAGATAGTTTTCAATTAATATTAAAGTATAAACTCATAAATTTTGACACGAAAAATGAATATTTAATTATAAATCTAATTCTAATAATAATATAATGAGTATAATAAAAATAAACTGAAAATTACATATCAAGCATATTTATTTATATTTCTATTAAGTTTTTATTTCAGGTATGGATGTCAAAAGAATCAGATTGTGATATACCTATACAAGTGATAATGTTGGCTTTATACATAGAATTACAATTGGGTAACATCTTTTTTTTCTAGAAATCATAGTATAAAGTCTCTATTCAAAGTTTCAAAGAGTAAAGGTTTTTTGCAAATTTGCATTATCTTGAAAATTATAAAATTCATCAATCAGAAATTACAAATTATTCTTGTCTTAATAGTTTTTTTAATTTTATATTTACACACACACACACACATATGTGTATAAAATTAAATATGTAAAAAATTTAATTTTTAATAGTAAATATTGCATTTTCCAAATATATTTATAATATTATCGGATATTATATATAATAATGAAATGTATATATTTTTTATATAAATTTTAGGTCACGCTGACACTTCAAAATCAATCATAAAACAACATTGTCCACAATATCGTTAATAAACAAGATATAATTCTGAGTTAAAACTACAAATATTTATGTTCAGTGCGTGTGTGCGCGCACGCATATATATATATATATTTCATAACATTCTAATTAAGTTAGAACTTAATTTCTAAGGCAATTGTGGCAATATGTAAAGAACATGCATAGTAAAGATATTTTTCAAGCCAATGACACAAAAGGATCAAAATGTTACAATAATAAGTGCTGTTACAAATAATTTTCATAGAAATATCAAGATTCACAATCTGAGGGAAATCTTGTAAGATATTCTTATATTAATAATACCTCAGTGTATAATCTATACAATATGGCACCATATAAACATACATATTATTACTTTTAAAGGAAGATTGATAAAGTTTTATTTTGAATAAAAAAAATTTTATCTTTTTGTGTTCTTATAATAAAATTTTCAGTAAATTTTTTTCTCTTGCCTCTCATATTCATGTTATCTCTCATTTTCCTTCTTTTCTCCTATTCACTGCAATCTGCTTTTTTTATTTTCTATGTCTCGTTTCCTCTTAATTTTGCTTTCGCTTTACGAAAAAAGAGGGGCCATATTGAGATCTAAATTTTAGGCAATATTGGGTAGTTGCATTGTATATATATTCTTATGTACTTTATACATATATATATATATATATATATATATATATATATATGTGTGTGTGTGTGTGTGTGTGTAAGAAAACTGTGTATTTACACATATATGTATTACATAAATACATATAAATATACACAGTTTCCTCTTTCTCACGTTTTTCTCCTTCACATACATAATTTTTAGTTGAGACCAAGGTTATCATCCCGTCTTTGAAAGCAATCCAGTTTGATGCGACACTGACGAGCCGAGATACCAAATCCTTTCATTTCGACGACTTGCGTTTCGTCCTTCACGGCCATATATGCGTGACACCAGCCGCACTTGACCTATATATTGTTATGCCATTGGACACAGTGTATAGTTTATATGTGCGAATACGCGCATAAGATTTTACTCAAACCTTGAGTCCGGTTTGCTGTCGCAAATTTTTTCTATCTATAATGACTATGATTTAATATTTTCACAATAGATACAAAATGCCGCCAAGTGAGCTACGGTTAGCGATTTTCCACAAAGAACGCGGATATATATCAAGTATTTATATGCATTTTCATCTTTGTAAAATTGATTTATTTTTATATCACACACACAAAGTCAAAAATGACATTAGATATAAAATATCTAATCTATATACATATCTAGATTAGTAATACTCTACATATAATTTATTATGCATAATTCTTTCAAAATTAATAATGTGTGTATGTGTCGTATAATTACTTGTTTTAAACTGCAAAGATACATCTTTAACACTTTGCGCTCTAATTGTCAATTAAAAAAGATATGCGTAAAGATTTTTAGTATTTGAATAATTTTTATTTATATATTATAAAAGAAATTAAATGCGCAATATATAATATAAATAAATTATGAAAAAAGGTACCTTTTTCAAGTATAAATAAAACATTCATTTTCTTAGCGAAAAAGAATTATCAGTCACTTCGAAATGCGCAAAGTGTGTAAAGGATTAGTATAAATTTTCATTCTCTCTCGCGCGCGCGCGTTCAAGGTTTAATGCAAGTATACCCTTCGGTCATTTTCCGAATGCCTTATTTTTGATCGGCGTTCACCAGAAGGCCGCGAGATCATTGTAGTTTTGCCACGCATCGCACTTGGCCGCTAACCGCGGCTATAAAATGAATCGCCAGCAGCGCAGGAGGTCAGTGCGCGACGCGAATACACTTGAGAGAGTATGCTTTCGCGTAAGTCTCATCCATATTATATACATCTATGTATTTTTCTTCTTTTCTCACAATTCTAATTAAAATGTACGAGTACTTTATTACAGAGAAGAAGACGATTTATCAATGGCATATACTTCAATACATCCAAGACAGGAGAACATGTAAAATACAAATAAAATATGACGAAAATAGCTGGTTACTACAACATTTCAAATAATTCTGAGAAATAACTAGTTTATTGATACATTGATAAAAATGGAGTTGGCAACGCAGCAAGAATCGAAAGACGAATTCGGTAGACCGTTTTCACCTTTACCTATGAAGAAATCTGAGACGAGAGACAGTATTTCTTCTGTTGACAGTGATGTGAGTCTTTCCTTTGACAGAAGAGGCTCCAAGAGCGAAGAAGCCGACTTATCGGATTATGATAGCGAGATTAAATCTGCGAAAAGGATTAAGACAGAGCAAGACTCGGGCGCGGATTCTGTAGATGATGCCACATCGAAGGAATTAGAAAACCAAAAACAATCGGAATCTCAGTTAATTGAGGAAACAACGAATGATCTCGATACATTGAATGATGAATTGGCAGACAAGATATGCGCTCAAGTGGAATTTTACTTTTCCGACGAAAATATTGTAAAGGACGCTTTTCTGTTGAAACACGTTAAAAGAAACAAAGAAGGCTACGTATCTTTAAAATTGATATCTAGCTTCAAGAGAGTAAAACATCTCAGTAGAGATTGGAGAGTGGTCGGAGCGGCTTTAGCGAGATCTAAGAAATTAGAAGTCAATTCACAAGGGACTAAATTGCGTAGAGTGGATCCTCTGCCACCTTTCGATCAGACTACATCTTCCAGAACTATATTAGTAGCCGGATTGTCGATAGAAAAATTGACAGTTGAATCTGTCGCCGAAATTTTCAAATCCTGTGGTGAAATAGCTCTGATAAGAATTCACAAACCTGGACACCCTACATCTTCTGAGGTAAGATGCTAAATCCTTTCAATTAAACATACATATTCCGGTTTAGAATAATTATTAGTTTTAACTCTTTCAAATATGCCTTATAAAAAGGATGCGATTATTCAATTAATTACTTTATTTAGATGTACATATATACACATACATATAAATAAAAAACTGTAAATTGTAAAATTAATTACTAAATTGCGATATCTTTTTCAATTAGATTTTTAAATCTTGAAACAAAATGCAAAAAGAATGTAGATATGGAACAAAAATATAATAATAGTTTATCGATATAAATTTGAATATTGCGTAACTTCTAGTATCATAATTATTATCGACAGACCAGAACATTGCACGACTAACTCGTAATAGTTAGTGATATGTAATCTGAAAAATAATTGTTTATCGCAAGTCTGCACTCACTGCTCAAATTTTCCATAATTGCACTGTATTACATAACTGCGTGTTACGTAATCTGCAAGGATCACTTTTGTAATGCAATCTCATACTCAATATAATACGCACGCTATCAATTACAGTCGATCCTTAAAAACTAAAATATGTACAGTTTCTATCTTAATAGTGATTATATACAATCTGATCAAGATTTTTATTCGATTATTACTTAATTGTTATCAATCAATATATTCTTTTACGGGTATACATTTTCAATTTCTCCTTTTATGTATTCAAAGAATTATATTCCTTTTCGATTTTCATCAACAGATAATATGTAGGCTATATTATGTATCATTTAGTCTGCAAACTTACATTATAATTTATGTTTATACATTTTTAATTTTATATGACATGTTTTATATGTGGTATTGTAGCTTATGTTTATCACAAATAAGTATCATATGTTATAACTAATATGTTATATCACAGTAACACATTGATAATAAAAGCTTAGATATATAAAACTTGCTTTATGCACACAATATTTTGATATATCAACATTGATAAATCTATAACGATGTTGAAACGAGAAATAAAATTTTTGCGTTATTTTTACATATTTTCACACATACCCATACATACACAAACACAGGTTCGCCAGGCAATCTCCAAAAGGCCAGAATTGACCTCCAACGAAGAGTACGCTATGGTCGAATTTACAGACTCCATTTCCGTTCAAATTGCTATGCAAATGACGTTGGGTAACGCCAAAATATTTGAATTACATCAATCAGTCGATAAGAAGAGGAAACACCAACCTACGAGGAAAAGTGTTTTAAATAGAATACCGAGAGAGAACAATTACAATTCATCGAGTTGTCCCAGTGGATCTGAAACTGAAGATGGAAAAGGAAGACATAAAAAGAGCATTCAGGGGCATTCATATCCTATGTATCACATCTATACGAGTTATCCTTCCCAAGGTATTAGACACACACACATACACACATATATAGTGTATATGTTTTAAATATATACTTAAAAAAATTTCATTGTACTGTATAAGATATTGTTTATTTGAAAATTTTTTTATGGTCTTTTTAATCGTAAACATTCTGACAATTATCAACATTTGGCGGTTTTTTCTTTTTTATCAAAATCCAATATGCTATTGACATATTGTTTCATATAATTTAACGATATTTAATATTCTTTTATTAATAATCTTAATTTCTATAATATATTTCAATCTTAAATGTAAGCTTGTCAAAATTTGTAAATATAAACATAAAATTTTCAACGTTTCTATTTATTTAAAACTCAAATAGAATTTTGTTAATTAAATATTTATTGTTTGTTGTATAATATTAAAACACATTATAAATAATATTCAATACTATTAATCAATTAATTCGACTACTCTCAGGTCCACCATCACCAGACGTATGGTTATCTCGTAAACTCTCTTCCTGTTCCATATCCAATTCTGACAATGGCTTTATAGTTCGGCGTTTGTCTTCCTGTTCCGGCTCTAGCTCAGATTCCGGTAGACGTTATTCGACATGTTCATCTGGTTCTGAAGCGGCTTTCTTCCATCCAGGTTATTCAAACACCTTTTATCATCATGAAAATCGCCGTTATTCTTGTTGCTCTTCTACAGGTTTGTATGTGTATAATCAAAATAAATTTAATAATTCAAAGCCAATAAATATTTTAGTGTAAAATGAAGAAAATATGAAGATTGTTATACTTTTATTTAATTAAGAAATGTTTACAAGTTATATAAATTGTGCATCATCGTAAAGAATAATCATAATTATTCAAGTGGCAGTCACTTCTCCGATTGTGGTGCATTGCATAGCGATACTTATTTGTTAGATAAACCTCAAATAAGAAAATAATATTTATGGAAACTCGATAAAAATAAATAATTTATGTTTGTTGTTATAGGTTCTTCGGCAGAATGCGAGAGAGACTGTTATTTCGCTAACCGTCGTGGATCAGCTGATTATGGATCGTTTCTGAGAAGATTATCCATGTGCAATCGTGATTCTGGCTACGATACTAACATTAGAAGATTGTCTCTCTGTTCTTCGAGCCCTGAGCAAAATGGATTTTATCGATCGAGAAGCAGTAATGGTATCGCTATGATGCATTTGCCCGAAAATGTGACGAGAATGCCGGCAGGACCAGATGGTACTCGAGGTTTCTTCGGTCGTTCTACAAGAATGTTTATAAAACCTACTTGTCGAGTACCATAAATACTTTTTCTATTGTTAAGAAGATGATAATAACAGTTCAATATGACATACTTGTTAATGTCGAGCGCTGCTTTAGCAATGATTAAATTATTTTACACATTGAAGAAACAAATGACTAATGAAATTCCTTAGTTGATATCACGTATGTTTAAACCTTTTTTTAATGTGTACTGAAGTTACAGAACATATACTCTATATAATACAAGAATAATGATAATGTAGTACATCATGTATATTTTAATTTAGTTTTTGTAGATTCTATATAACATAAAATATATATTTAACATAAAATATATATTTAACATCTGTGTACGTATGCAGATATAGTATGATAGACAAGATACACATCATTCGAAATAATGTAATTTTAGACGTTAATCAAGTCTTTAATAATTAATACAAAGATAAATAATGCACTTCAAGTGTTATAATGTCCAGAAATTAAATAATCTGCCTGTAATTATTATGTCATATAATTTGACAATAACTCGAGATTTATATACGGAAAACTTGTACGTATAACAAAATAAATGAGGGCAAGAATACTTACGCATTTCATACTAACAACTCAAACTCAATCCTGTACCATATCAGTCAATTTGTAGGTGCATTCAGAAGCTCAATGAGCGGCATCTTCCTTCTTTTTCCTTTCGATTTTAATGGCCACCTCTGATCTAGAAGTGATCAGTATATTCAGGCCAACAACAGGTTTGAACGAGTAATAAATTTAGTGAGTTAAAAGGTGATGTGTCTTAATAACTATCAACCTTATCGAAATATAAACCTTATCGAAGCCCTCGAAAAAGGGAGAAACTCAACAATTTTATTAAAACAAAAATCACACAAAGAACGCGCAGGAACACGTCCGCTCCCGTCCAAAGGCGGCAACGGACTCTCAATGAGCGGCTAAGTAGCAATTGAATGTTATTGGTTTCTATCTTTGATTTCACCAATTACATTCTTCTTTGGTTTTATATGGCCACATCTGATCTACCAATTACATTCGATTGCTACTTAGCCACTCAGTGCGGGAAAACCTTATTAAGGTTCTCCCGGGACCCGTAATAAGGCGAAAACTTTATTAAGGTTCTCCCGGGACCCGTAATAAGGCGAAAACCTTATTAAAGTTCTCCCGGGACCCGTAATAAGGCGAAAACCTTATTAAGGGTCTCGGGAGATCCTTAATAAAGCAAAAACCTTATTAAGGGTCTCTGGAGAACCTTAATAAGGTTTTCGCTTTATTACGGGTCCCGCGAGAACCTCAATAAGGTTCTCGACTTATTACGGGTCCCGGGAGAACCTTAATAAGGTTTTCGCCTTATTACGGGTTCCGGCAGAACCTTAATAAGGTTTTCGCCTTATTACGTGTCCCGGGAGAACCTTAATAAGGTTTTCGCCTTATTACGGGTCCTGGAAGAACATTAATATGGTTTTCGCCTTATTACGGGTCCCGGGAGAACCTTAATAAGGCGAAAACCTTATTAAGGTTATCCCGAGACCCTTAATAAGGCGAAAACCTTATTAAGGTTCTCCCGGGACCCGTAATAAGGCGAAAAGCTTATTAAAGTTCTCCCGGGACCCGTAATAAGGCGAAAACCTTATTAAGGTTCTCCCGGGACCCGTAATAAGGCGAAAACCTTATTAAGGGTCTCGGGAGATCCTAAATAAAGCAAAAACCTTATTAAGGGTCTCTGGAGAACCTTAATAAGGTTTTCGCTTTATTACGGGTCCCGTGAGAACCTTAATAAGGTCTTCGCTTTATTACGGGTCCCGGGAGAACCTTGATAAGGTTGTCGCCTTATTACGGGTCCCGGAAGGATCTTAATATGGTTATCGCCTTATTACGGGTCCCGGGAGAACCTTAATAAGGCGAAAACCTCATTAAGGTTCTCCCGAGACCCTTAATAAGGCGAAAACCTTATTAAGGTTCTTCCCAAGACCCGTAATAAGGCGAAAACCTTATTAAGGTTCTCCCGGAACCTGTAATAAGGCGAAAACTTTATTAAGGTTCTCTCGGGACCCGTAATAAGGCGAGAACCTTATTAAGGTTCTCCCGGGACCCGTAATAAGGCGAAAACTTTATTAAGGTTCTCCCGGGACCCGTAATAAGGCGAGAACCTTATTAAGGTTCTCCCGGGACCCGTAATAAGGCGAGAACCTTATTAAGGTTCTCCCGGGTCCCGTAATAAAGCGAAAACCTTATTAAGGTTCTCCCGGGACCCGTAATAAGGCGAAAACCTTATTAAAAGTCTCGGGAGATCCTAAATAAAGCAAAAACCTTATTAAGGGTCTCTGGAGATCGCTACTTAGGCGAAAACGTTATTAAGGTTTTCCCGTGATCGCTAATAACGCGAAAACGTTATTAAGGTTCTCCCGCGATCGCCAATAACGCGAAAACGTTATTAACGTTCTCTCGTAATCGCTAATAACGCGGAAACGTTATTAACGTTCTCCTATGATCGCTAATAAGGCGAAAACGTTATTAAAGTTCTCCCGTGATCGCTAATAACGCGAAAACGTTATTAAGGTTCTCCCATGATCGCTAATAACGCGAAAACCTTATTAAGGTTCTCCCGTGATCTCTAGTAACGTGATAACGTTATTAACGTTCTGCTGTGATCGCTAATAACGCGAAAACGTTATTAAGGTTCTCCCGTGATCTCTAGTAACGTGATAACGTTATTAACGTTCTCCTGTGATCGCTAATAACGCGAAAACGTTATTAAGGTTCTCCCGTGATCGCTAATAACGCGAAAACCTTATTAAGGTTCTCCCGTGATCTCTAGTAACGTGAAAACGTTATTAACGTCCTCCCGTGATCGCTAATAACGCGAAAACGTTATTAACATTCTCCCATGATCGCTAATAACGTAAAAACGTTATTAAGGGTTAGCGGGAGAGGCTCTAATAAGCTTCTCCCCTCATTACGGTTACCGGGAGAGGCTCTAATAAGCTTCTCCCCTCATTACGGTTAACGGGAGAAACTCTAATAAGCTTCACCCCTCATTACGGTTAGCGGGAGAGGCTCTAATAAGCTTCTCCCCTCATTACGGTTAGCGGGAGAGGCTCTAATAAGCTTCTCCCCTCATTACGGTTAGCGGGAGAGGCTCTAATAAGCTTCTCCCCTCATTACGGTTAACGGGAGAGGCTCTAATAAGCTTCTCCCCTCATTACGGTTAACGGGAGAGGCTCTAATAAGCTTCTCCCCTCATTACGGTTAACGGGAGAGGCTCTAATAAGCTTCTCCCCTCATTACGGTTAACGGGAGAGGCTCTAATAAGCTTCTCCCCTTATTACGGTTAACGGGAGAGGCTCTAATAATCTTCTACCCTCATTACGGTTAACGGGAGAGGCTCTAATAAGCTTCTCCCCTCATTACGGTTAACGGGAGAGGCTCTAAGCTTCTCGCCTCATTAAGGTTTTCGCTTTATTAAGGTTCTCCCGAGATCCGTAATAAGGCGAAAACCTTATTAAGGTTCTCCCGAGACCAATAATAAGGCGAAAACCTTATTAAGGTTATTCCGAGATCCGTAATAAGGCGAAAACCTTATTAAGGTTTTCACGAGACCATTAATAAGGCGAAAAGTTTATTAAGGTTCTTTTATAAGGTTCCTTATTAAGGTTCCTTTATAAGGATCGCTAATAAGGCGAAAACGTTATTAAGGTTCTCCCGTGATCGCTAAAAAGGCGAAAACGTTAGTAAGGTTCTCCCGTGATCGTTAATAACGCGAAAACGTTATTAAGGTTCTCCCGTGATCGCTAATAAGGCGAAAACGTTATTATCGTTCTCCCGTGATCGTTAATAAGGCGAAAACGTTATTAAGGTTCTCCCGTGATCGTTAATAAGGCGAAAACGTTATTAAGGTTCTCCCGTGATCGCTAATAACGTGAAACCGTTATTAACGTTCTCCCGTGATCGCTAATAACGCGAAAACGTTATTAACGTTCTCACTTGATCGCCAATAAGGCGAAAACGTTATTATCGTTCACCCGTGATCGTTAATAAGGCGAAAATGTTACTAAGGTTCTCCCGTGATCGTTAATAAGGCGAAAACGTTATTAAGGTTCTCCCGTGATCGCTAATAACGTGAAAACGTTATTAACGTTCTCCCGTGATCGCTAATAACGCGAAAACGTTATTAACGTTCTCCCGTGATCGTTAATAACGCGAAAACGTTATTAACGTTCTCCCGTAATCGCTAATAACGCGAAAACGTTACTAACGTTCTGCCGTGATCGCTAATAACGCGAAAACGTTATTAACGTTCTCCCGTGATCGCCAATAACGCGAAAACGTTATTAACGTTCTCCCGTGACCGCTAATAAGGCGAAAACGTTATTAACGTTCTCCCGTGATCGCTAATAACGCGAAAACGTTATTAACGTTCTCCCGTGATCGTTAATAACGCGAAAACGTTATTAACGTTCTCCCGTAATCGCTAATAACGCGAAAACGTTACTAACGTTCTGCCGTGATCGCTAATAACGCGAAAACGTTATTAACGTTCTCCCGTGATCGCCAATAACGCGAAAACGTTATTAACGTTCTCCCGTGACCGCTAATAAGGCGAAAACGTTATTAACGTTCTCCCGTGATCGCTAATAACGCGAAAACGTTATTAACGTTTTCCCGTGATCGCTAATAACGCAAAACCGTTAATAACGTTATCCCGTGATCGCTAATAACGCGAAAACGTTATTAAGGTTCTCCCGTGATCGCTAATAACGCGAAAACGTTATTAACGTTCTCCCGTGATCGTTAATAATGCGGAAACGTTATTAAGGTTTTCCCGTGATCGCTAACAACGTGAAAACGTTATTAAGGTTCTCCCGCGATCGCTAATAACGCTAAAACGTTATTAAGGTTCTCCCATGATCGCTAATAACGCGAAAACGTTATTAAGGTTCTCCCGTGATCGCTAGTAACGCGAAAACGTTATTAAGGTTCTCCCGTGATCGCTAGTAACGCGAAAACGTTATTAAGGTTCTCCCGTGATCGCTAGATATATTATAGAAAGGAAAATACTGAATAGCCTTTAATAAACATTAAATATTATTTATTTTTAATTTCGAAATTGTCAGTAGATATATATAGAGAATTAAAGTCCTTTAATAGAAAGTCGCTCTAAATTGTTGGATGTTTTAGATACAAAGTAAGGTCCAAGATTTTCAGCTTAAAAATAAATTCAAAATTATATTCATACTACTTGATACAAGTTTTATTTGTATTATTACCAAAATTGCAAATATTTAAATTAAATTTAGATGAGATTATGAGCAATATGACCATACACATTAATTTTACGTTAATATTAGTATTCTCACATTCTGTACTTATTTAAACAAATTTATTTAGTACAATTGCTTCTAATGCATCTGTTCTAAATCGTAAAGCATTTTTTTCCAACTTGCACCATTATATGCTTTGCATACATATATTTACAACAATTGTATATTGCAGAGATTGCGTCTCGACAGTTTGGATATCTGCAAGCATACTGTAGCAAGAAGAGTAATTTTATGCAACTTCATTATATAAACTTTACATCAAATTTGTTTCTATAATATAAAACAAAATACTAACACATTTTATTTAAGTATTTGCTCTAAATTATGTCATTCTGTAGAGCAAGTATCATAAATGTTTAGATATAACAGTATATGGTTACGCTTTTGTGCATCAGCAGGAACATTTTTTCCTTTCAGATAATAAATGTTTCTATTAAACAATACACATATGTATAGAGCAAAAGAAACAAGTATAGTGCGCATATGGGTGTAACTGTATGTGTACACATCTTGCGATACATTCCATATACTCTTTAACAAAATTAAAATATTAATTTGTATAATAGGAAGAAATAATATGTAGGCAAGATAATGAAATCTTTATGTAACGTAATGTAACAATATTATAATATTAATTAATAAGTAATCTTGAAAAATGTACTGTAAAACGATTATTTTGAAGAGTTTTTAAAACAAGTAGGTTCTCCAATCAGTTTCAATCTATTCTAGTTAAAAATATCAGCAGATCATCTATTTCAATGATTTTAGATATATTATAGAAAGGAAAATACTGAATAGCCTTTAATAAACATTAAATATTATTTATTTTTAATTTCGAAATTGTCAGTAGATATATATAGAGAATTAAAGTCCTTTAATAGAAAGTCGCTCTAAATTGTTGGATGTTTTAGATACAAAGTAAGGTCCAAGATTTTCAGCTTAAAAATAAATTCAAAATTATATTCATACTACTTGATACAAGTTTTATTTGTATTATTACCAAAATTGCAAATATTTAAATTAAATTTAGATGAGATTATGAGCAATACGACCATACACATTAATTTTACGTTAATATTAGTATTCTCACATTCTGTACTTATTTAAACAAATTTATTTGAATAAAAACATTAATTTATTTGTTTAATTAATTATAATTATTATCTATTTGAAATAAATTGGAAATCTTAAAGTTTTTTCTTTTTAAGTGACAAGATAAGGATATAATTCGTAAAAGTGCCCTTATTCAAATATAAGATTTACTATACTAATGTAATATTTCCATACAATATTGTTACATAAACTTTGTGTAGAAATATCTTTAGAATATATATAAAGAGTTATTATGGCGAACATAGTTTACATTACTCACTTTTCCAATTCCAAAATATGTCACAAGTGCAAGACACGGTGCCGCAAGAGAGAAAATTAATAAGTGTCTGCTTATATAAGTATTTTCTTACTACCTTCTATCTACACCTTCATGAAGAAGAAATGACACAAGTCCAAATGCATCTGGCGCCTATAAAAAATAATTTAATGTTCAACGATAAAAAAAATTGATAAGCTAATTATATTAACTTACATATTTTATAAGTGCTTGTTAATTCATTTCTGAAACATTGTATATAATTCCTTCTTACTTTGTGTAACATTATTGCGAAGAAAAACTAAGACACTTTGAGCATCAGCTTGAGATGTAGTAGCAGCAGCTCCCAATGCAACACCGCCAATCAACCAGCAGCATCTACTATAAGACCTAAAGTTGCTGTAATACTTTTCTTGTCTTCCTCCACTTTTTCTGGCTGAACATTGATCAATTAAAAGCATAAACCAAGTACTAAACTAATTCCAATTAAAGTATGTAAATTGCCTGTAAAAAAAGAAAAAAGAACAGGAATACTATTAATTAGATGTTAATTTCATGAAATGTGGCAATCAGTAAACATGCAATTGCATACTATATGAACCTTTTCCAGTTTAGTAATACCATCCACAGTAAATAATGCTCTTACACCCTCAGGTATAGTCAGGTATAATCGCTAGCGCAGTACCAACAAGGAGTCCTGCTCCTAATATTGAAACTAATTGTAACTTGTCCTATGGAAAACATATTGCACGTAAATTACAAGATACAATGAATTCTGATATACACCTATTATATACATACATAATTTTATATTACATAAAATATTCTTCTTCACTTCTGTATCTTACTTCTTCTGATAAATTTATTTAACTTAATGGCAGTGATCCAGCTCCAAGACAAGCCCCAACAAACATAACAAGAGAAAGCATCCATAGCATTGCTCTCTCCTCCATTTTTATTTAATTATTAAATACTGATGGCAATTTATCTTTAATTTTTAACATTATTATACACATCAATATATATAATATACATCTTAGACATTATGACATTAGGTATTTGACTAGCAATATTAAATTATAAATTTGCAATTATATATATTGATCTATGATGTCGATGTAATAATTTTTTCGACAGATCAAAATATAAGTAAGATATTCGATGATTTATATACAATAATCATTGAATCGATTAATTAAACCACAAAGGTCGACAAGATCGACAGTACCAGGTATCTTCAGACCAGGTAATTCCTACATCTCGGAGCATAGACGTATGTTACATATACAGATGGAGCGTTATATTTATATTACATAAAAGGACCGTCTACAATGGAGGAATAAAGGTGCAATTTCATTGTCGCTAAAAGGTAGCGTCAACCATTGGTTGAACAAAGAAGTAAGTAGTTGCTTCATTGTTCAACCAATGGCCGACGCTACGCATTTTAGCGCCAACGAAATTTAAACCTTCAAACCTTTAAATTTGCAATTTCGCGCATGTTCGGCAGTCCTCGCGCCTGTTTGGGAGCTTTCACGCATGAGCGGCAGTTCTCGCGCCTGATTGGACGTCTTCGCGCGTCCGCGGCAGGCCTCGCGCCTGATTGGGAGTCTTGGCGGCGCGCGCGGCAGTTCTCGCGCCTGATTGGACGTCTTCGCGCACGCACGGCAGTCCTCGCTCCTGATTGGGAGTCTTCGCGCGTCCGCGTCCGTTCTCGCGCCTGATTGGCGCGTGCAGTCTTGCGCGGCAGTTCTGAATGTCCTAAATATATATACAAGTGTTATTTGTACATATCGATAGGAAATATATACACAAACAACATTCATTCTTTAAAAAAATATCTAAAATTAGTACCCGCATTTTCTATTGTTTCTCTATAATATATATTGATTAATCTATCTTGTGCACTGTATGTTATTTCATTAAAATCGGTGTCTGTTAAGGAAAAATTACGTAATTTAATAACAGGAATATTGGGCAAATAAATAATATATAAATGATTTTACTCGTTAAATAATTAGTACAATTGCTTCTAATGCATCTGTTCTAAATCGTAAAGCATTTTTTTCCAACTTGCACCATTATATGCTTTGCATACATATATTTACAACAATTGTATATTGCAGAGATTGCGTCTCGACAGTTTGGATATCTGCAAGCATACTGTAGCAAGAAGAGTAATTTTATGCAACTTCATTATATAAACTTTACATCAAATTTGTTTCTATAATATAAAACAAAATACTAACACATTTTATTTAAGTATTTGCTCTAAATTATGTCATTCTGTAGAGCAAGTATCATAAATGTTTAGATATAACAGTATATGGTTACGCTTTTGTGCATCAGCAGGAACATTTTTTCCTTTCAGATAATAAATGTTTCTATTAAACAATACACATATGTATAGAGCAAAAGAAACAAGTATAGTGCGCATATGGGTGTAACTGTATGTGTACACATCTTGCGATACATTCCATATACTCTTTAACAAAATTAAAATATTAATTTGTATAATAGGAAGAAATAATATGTAGGCAAGATAATGAAATCTTTATGTAACGTAATGTAACAATATTATAATATTAATTAATAAGTAATCTTGAAAAATGTACTGTAAAACGATTATTTTGAAGAGTTTTTAAAACAAGTAGGTTCTCCAATCAGTTTCAATCTATTTTAGTTAAAAATATCAGCAGATCATCTATTTCAATGATTTTAGATATATTATAGAAAGGAAAATACTGAATAGCCTTTAATAAACATTAAATATTATTTATTTTTAATTTCGAAATTGTCAGTAGATATATATATAGAGAATTAAAGTCCTCTAATAGAAAGTCCCTCTAAATTGTTGGATGTTTTAGATACAAAGTAAGGTCCAAGATTTTTAGCTTAAAAATAAATTCAAAATTATATTCATATTACTTGATACAAGTTTTATTTGTATTATTACCAAAATTGCAAATATTTAAATTAAATTTAGATGAGATTATGAGCAATATGACCATACATATTAATTTTACGTTAATATTAGTATTCTCATATTCTGTACTCATTTAAACAAATTTATTTTAATAAAAACTTTAATTTATTTGTTATTAATTAATTATAATTATTATTTATTTGAAATAAATTGGAAGTTCTTAAAGTTTTCTTCTTTTTAAGTGACAGGAAAAGGATGTAATTCGTAAAAGTGCCCTCATCCAAATATAAGATTTACTATACTAATGTAATATTTCCATACAATATTGTTACATAAACTTTGTGTAGAAATATCTTTAGAATATATATAAAGAGTTATTATGGCAAACACAGCTTACATTACTCACTCACATTACTTTTCCAATTCCAAAATATGTCACAAGTGCAAGACACGGTGCCGCAAGAGAGAAAATTAATAAGTGTCTGCTTATTTTCTTACTTTCTATCTACACCTTCATGAAGAAGAAATTGACACAAGTCCTGGTATAAATTAATGATGTGTATATCGGTAATTCATTGTATCTTGTAATTACGTGCAATATGTTTTCCATAGCGGACAGTTCAAACATTAGTTTCAATTTACGGGCAGGACTCTTGTGTGTACTGCGTAAGCGATTATACCTGACTGTATCCTGAGGTTAAGAGCATTATTACTGTGGATGGTATTATAATGAAAAAGGTTCGTAAGTATATAGTGCAATTGCATTGTTTACTGATTACCCCATATTCATGAAATTAAAATCTGATTAATATATTTCCTGTTCTTTTTTCTTTTTTTACAGGCAATTTAACATACTTAAACTTGGAATTAGTTTAGTACTTTGGTTATCTTTTAATTGATCAATGTTCAGCCCAGAAAAAGTGGAGGAAGACAAGAAAAAGTATTACAGCAACTTTAGGGTTTATAGTAGTTGCTGCTAGTTGATTGGCGGTGTTGCATTGGGAGCTGCTGGCTACTAACATCTCAAGCTGAGTCGAAGTGTCTTAGTTTTTCTTCGACATAATGTTACAAGGTAAGAAGTTATATACTGTTTCAGAAATGAAATTAACAAGCGGCTTATAAAATATGTAAGTTAATATATTAGCTTATCAAATTTTCTTTATCGCTAGAACATTAATTATATTTTATAGGCGCCAGATGCATTTGGACTGTTCAATTTCTTCTTCATGAAGTGTAGATAGAAAGTAAGAAAATAAGCAGACACTTTATTAATTTCTCTCTTGCGCACTGGTCTTGCACTTGTGACATATTTTGGAATTGGAAAAGAATGTGAGTGAGTAATGTAAAGCTGTGTTGCCATAAAACTCTTTATATATATTCTAAAATTTCTCTTACAACAAAGTTTATGTAAAATATTTGATGAAATATACATTAGTATTAGTAATCTTATTATTTGAGTGGCGGCACTTTTTACGAAATTACATCCTTTCCTGTCACTTAAAGAAAGAACTTTAAGAATTCCAATTTATTTCAAATAAATTCAATTAATTATATTAACTTAATAACAAAATTAAATTAAAATTTTAAAAATAATTTGTTTAAATAGTACAGAATATGAGAATACTAATATTCAACGTAAATTAATATGTATGTGTCGTATTGCTCATAAATCTCATCTAAATTTAATTTATTAATATTGCAATTGTTGGTAATAATACAAATAAAACGTTGTATCAAAGGTATTAGAATATAATTTTGATTTATTTTTAAGCCTGAAAATATCTTGGACCTTACTTGTTATCGTAAAACATCCAACAATTTAGGCGGACTTTCTTTAAAAGGACTTTAATTCCTCTATATATATCTACTGACAATTTCGAATTAAAAATAAATATATTTTAATGTTAATTAAAGGCTATTCAGGTATTTTCCTTTCTATAATATATCTATAAACTCATTGAAATAGATGAATCTGCTGAATTTTTAACTAAGAAATAGATTGAAAACGATTGGAGAACCTACTTGTTTTTAAAAACTCTTCAAAAATAATCGTTTTACCATGTAAATAGATTACTTATTAATTAATATTATATATTGTTACATCGTTAATAAAGATATTTCATTATCTTGCCTACTATTATTTTTCTTCCTATTATAAAATCATTAATATTTAAGTTTTGTTAAAGAGTATTGGAATGTATCGCAAGATGTGTACACATAACAGTTACACCCATATGCGCACTAATACTTGTTCTTTGCTTATACATATGGTATTGTTTTAATAGAAACATTTATTATCTGAAGGAAAAAATTGTTCCGCTGATGCACAAAAAGCGTAACATCATACTACGCTGATATACTTCTAAACACTTATATGACTTGCCTCTAGAGAATGACATAATTTAGAGACAAATACTTAAATAAAAGTGTGTTAGTATTTTGGTTTTTATATATAAGAACAAATTTGATGTATAAGTTTATATTATTGAAGTTGCATAAAATTACTCTCTTGCTACAGTATGCTTGCAGATATCCAAACTGTCGAAACGCAAATCTCTGCAATATACAATTGGTGTTGTAAGCATAAATATGCAAGCATATATGGTGCGAGCTGGAAAAAAATGCTTTACGATTTAGAACGAATCATTAGAAGCAATGTACTAAAAAGGTTTAAACGCAAGTAAAATTCATTGTATTATTATTTTATCTTCCATATATTCTGTTATTAAATTTACGTAATTTGTTTCCTTAAAGCAGACACCATTTGTATAAATAAACATACCAGGGCACAAGATAGAGTTAATCAAATATATTATAGAGAAACCAATAGAAAAATGTCGGGTACTATTTTAGATATTTTGTTTAAGGAATGAATGTTGTTTGTGTATATATTTTGCATGCAATTCAATTGGAATGAAGCAGGAAAAACTGTGAATTTATTATTTAGGAATCATACGACTGCTGTCAGCAAGGACTCGTCAACGCGGCCAATCAGGCGCGAGAACGGCGGACGCGCGAAGACGCGCCAGAGACGAGTCCAATAGTGAGCGGATGCCGTGCGTCGCGAAGAACGTCCAAATCAGGGCGAGAAACTGCCGCGCCAAACGCCGCCAAGACTCTCCAATCAGGGCGCGGGATGCCGCCGCGGACGCGGCGAACGCCCATCAGGCAGCGAGACTGCCGCGTCATCGCGGTGAAAGTCCAGGGCGCGCAGATACGCCAATCAGCGCGAAGGATTGCGAACAGTGGATTAGGTCCAATTAGGTTTAGAAGGTTCTAAATATTTGTGGCGCTAAAATGTAAGCGTCAGCCATTGGTGAACCAATTGAAGCAACTACCTACCGTCTTGCTATCAACCATGTTGACGCACCTTTTAGCGACAAATGAATTATCTTTCTTATTCCTCCATGTCCAGACGGTCCTTTTTATGTAATACTAAATAAAGCTCCATTCTTATGATAATCGTGATACTCTATAGCCTCCGAGATTAGGAAATTAACCCTGGTCTGAAGAACCTACTGTCGATCTTGTCCTTGAGCTTCTGTGGTTTTAAATTATCGATTCAATGAATTATTGTACTATAATCATTCAATCTTGATATATTTTGATTCGTGTCGAAAAATTATTCACATCGATACATAAGATCAATATATATAATTGAATCTTTAATTAATATTAGCTAGTCAAATCCTAATAGTCATAATGTCCTACAGATGATATTATAAGTACATTTGATGTATAATATATGTTAAAAATTAAACAATAAATAGTTGCCCATTCGTATTAAATTATTAATAAATAATGGAGGAGAAAGCATCTAATGAATGTACTTTCTCTTGTAATAGTTTGTTGGGCTCTGTCTTGAGCTGGATCACTGCCATTAAGTTAAATCAAATTTATCAGAAGAAGTATTAAATACTAGAGTGAAGAAGATATTTTATGTAATATATATTAGGTCTGTATACTAATCAGGTGTATATCAGAATTCTTGTATCTTGTAAATTTAAGTGCAATATTTTTCCATAGGACACAGTTACAACTTAGTTTCAGAATTAGAGGCAGGGACTCCTTTTGTACTGGACGCCTAAGCGATCTATACCTGACTGTAAGCCTTGAGGGTGGTAGAGCATTATTTACTGTGGATGGTATTATAAAAACGGGTGTAAATAGTACATAATTAATGCAACTTGTCATGGTTTACTGATTGACCATATTTCATGAAAATCTAACATCTGATTAATAGCTATTCCTGTTTCTTTCCTTGTTTTTTTTAGCAGGCACATTTAGCAGACTCTTTAAACCCCTTGGAATTATTTAGTACTGGGTGGTTTTTGACTTTTAATTAGCATCATTGTTCAGCGCCCAAGAAAAAAGTGAGGAAGACAGAAAAGTAATTAACAGGCAACTTTAGGTCTTATAGTAGATGCTTGCTGGCTTGAATTTGGCGGTGTGCCATTGGGAGGCTGCTGCTCACTCTACTCTCAAGCTGATGTCCAATGTGTCTTAGTTTTTCCTCGCCAATATATTACACAAGCTAAGAAGGAATTTAAACAATGTTTTCAGAAATGATATTAAAGCACTTATCAAAATATGTAAGTTAATAAATTAGCCTTTATCAATTTCTTTTATCGCTGAACATTAAATATTTTATTAGGCCCAGATGCATTTGGGAC